TATATAAATAAAATACCAGTTACAATTTTAATGACATATTAAAATATTATTTAATTAATTATTAATTCAATGTAATAGAGACCTTCCTACTTCCTCTCCATCATCCACAGCACAGTGTGGTAGCATTGAATTCATAAAATGTTCATAATTTGACCTTCTATGTAGGCTGGCTTGTTGCTAGGTGATGCTTGTTTTATTTGTTGCAGTGGATGGGGCCTTGTACACATTTGGAGAGAAAGACAGTGGGAAGCTGGGCTTGTCCACTGAGAAGCTGGCCAGTCATAAACTGCCTCAACAGGTGACCGGCGTCTCTGATAAGGTGGTACAGGTATCCTGTGGAGGAGGGCACACCGTGGCGCTTACAGGTAGGAGAACATATTTTGCTTTGTCATCTTGTTCCACTGTCTTTCCTCATTGAGAAGAATGAACGTTATGCATGTCTGGTACTGCAGAGCACGAGGTGTATTCGTTTGGCCTGGGTCAGTTTGGACAGCTCGGCCACGGCACTTTCATATTTGAGTCACGTTTACCCAGAGTGGTTGAGCATTTCAGGAGGGGCAGAGTTAAGCATGTGGAGTGTGGAGAGAACCATACAGCGCTGATTACTGGTAAGCATGCACTGAAAGCCACCTGACTACATTTATCTACTCTGATACATTTGACATGATATAATTTCCTCTAAAATATATACCGGTTCTGCTTGTGTATATAAAATCTGATGTGCTGGTTTCAGACAGTGGCCTTTTGTACACCTTTGGTGATGGTCGACATGGAAAGCTGGGGCTGGGAGAAGAGAACTTCACCAACCAGTTCAAACCAACCCTGTGTCCAAGATTCCTAGACTATTATGTACATTCTGTACGTATTACCACCTATCTACCTTTTATGACACAACATACATTTGATTTCTATCAGATGTATCCTTTTTCTGCTTTAAAACCGTGAAATGGTTTGACAAATACAATTTTCATATCCCTGTTGACTTAATTCCTTTTGAAACAGAAAGTAGAGCTTTTTTGATTTAATTCTCTTGTTGAATTTCTCATTCATTTCTCAAAAAGATGATTTTAATTTACTGCACAAACTTGCATGAATATTTTGGTCCATTTTCCACATCCAGCTGAGAAAGATTGAAAAAATGATTCAAAAGTTTGAGGTCAGTAAGATTTTTAAAGGGGCCATATGATGCGATTTCAATTTTTCCTTTCTCTTTGAAGTGTTACAAGCTCTTGGTGCATAAAGAAGATCTGTAAAGTTGCAAAGACTAAAGTCTCAAATCCAAAGAGATATTCTTTATAAAAGTTAAGAGTCAACCACACCTACCTAAAACGACTTGTTCTAACACGCCCCCACGTGTCTATGTAGCCCGGGGTCGTCACATGTGGTTGCCGCAAGCCCGCCGGCCGCTCTTTCGTCGAATCCGCCGGCCGCACCGTTCTCAAGCTCACCGGCCTCCTCTTACTCAGCCCACCAGCCGTTCCTCACTCTAACCGCCGGCCTCCGCTCACTCTAGGCCATAAACATTTTTCATTACACCAAATAATGTTCTTTTTAGCAACATCATATGACCCCTTTAAGAATTTAATACTTCTATTCAGCAAGGACACATTAAATTGATGAAAAATGACAGTAAAGTCATATAATGTTACTAACGATTTCTGTTTTTAAGTGAATGCTGTTCTTTTGAACTTTATTTTCTTCAAAAAATACTGTAAAAATATATAACAGTTTCTGCAAAAAAATTAAGCAGTACAACTGTTTTTAACACTGATAATAATAAGAAATGTTATGTGATCATCTAATCAGCATATTATAATTATTTCTGAAGGATCATGACACTGAAGACTGGAGTAATGGCTGCTGAAAAATCAGCATTACCATCACAGAAATAAATTACGTTTTAATATATTTAAAAATAGAAAATAGTTATTTTAATTTGTAATAATATTTTACAGTATTACCATTTTTAATGTATTTTTATCAAATAAATGCAGCCTTGGTGAACATGAGAGACCAAAAAAAATCCAAACTTTTGAATGTTAATGTAGATGTGTTGTGTGTTGTGACATGGATCAATATAAGCCACAAAACTCCTATTTTGATTTCATGGCAGCTGCAAACAGTGTGTGTGTTTTTCAGGTTACTTGTGGTGGGTGTCACATGCTTGTGTTGGCAAAACCTAGGCCCGAAGGGTCTGAGGATTTGATCTTAGAGGAGGATGACGTCACAGAAGACTACTTTGAGAAGTCCTATACTGAATTACTGGGGGACACACACAGTCAGACCACCCTGAACAGGAGTCTCTCGGCTCGGATCAGACGCAGAGAACGGGTGGGTAAATCCGGATGGGTCAAAATTAGTGCAACCGATTATCAGTTGGGACTAGTTGCAGTGTAGTCTTGCAGTCAAGATGAATAATAAGTCTTTGTGGTAATGTTTAATATAATATAATATAATATAATGTTACCTAAACAGTCATATAAATGAGTTAATTATGGAATCATAAATGACTTGCTTTTCCTCTGCAGGAGCGTTCACCAGATCAGTTTGGACAGATGTTTCGAACACTTCCAGCCCTGGGCGGAAATCAGCTGAGTGCATCTTTATCTGTTCCCAGCCAGATCCATCACTCCCATAGGAAACAACCAGGAAAGATCCCTCACAACAGCCTCAAAAGTAACAGCCTTAAAAAAAAATCTGTATTTAAAGGCATATCTGTGGTTTCAAATAACAGAAAAACAAGTTCTTTATTCACAAATGCAATTGTCACTTTTAAAAATATATTATTTATTCAAAATGCACAAATTTATATTAATTTACACTACTGTTTATTAGTTTGGGGTCAGTATGATTTTTTTATTCAGCATTCATCAGGCACATTAAATTTATAAAAAGTCACAGAAAAAACTTATGTTGTTACAAAAGATTTCTATTTCAAATAAATGCTGTTCTTTTGAACTTTCTATTCAAAGTATCCAAAAATGTATCACAGTTTTCGCAAAAATATTAAGCAGCCCAACTGTTTTTAACATTGATAATAATAAGATATGTTTCTTGAGCACCAAACCAGCATATTAAAATGGATAAGCCTGGAGTAATGGCTGCTGAAAATTTGAAAAATGCTATTTAAAATTGTAACAATATTTCACAATGTTACTGTTTTTACTATAAATTTAATTAAGGAAATGCAGACTACTTTCAACAACAATTTAAAAAAACTACTGACCCTAAACGTTTGAATAGTAGTGTAAACTGCTGAGTCTTGCTCAGGTTTTTATGTCTTCTCTCTCAATTAGTTCCTGGAAGGAGAGAGAAGTCCCTCGATGACAGAAGCAGTGTGAAGGATAGCGAGAGTTTAAAAGACCTCGGAGAAACCACTGACTTATTAAACCTGGTAGGAGAAGCATACCATCACTTATTAAAGAGGCACGCATGCTTTTATAATATATATATATATAGAAAATACATAGAATTAGACATTTCATGATTTGGTTTATTGTCATTTTTTAATGAGAAATCAATGCCAGTTTTAAACATAAGATAAAACAGTGTGGCACAGTAACACAGTGTTCACAACTGGTGAAGTCCATTTTGACAGGGGTCACGGGAAACAAAGGGGAAAAGCAATGCTAAATGCAAATTCAACTAAGTGTGTAATCATGAATAACTAGGATAGAAAAACAAAATCAATTTTTAAAAGGAAGACGTAAATGATGCAGACTACATTACATAAAGATTTCATTTAGTTTGGGTTTTGGGTTGCCATTTGATGTAAAATCTGGGTTGTGCAGAAAAAAAAAAAACGTTTAGAACCACTGATATAAAAGACAAAGCTTCCAAGTCTAAAGCAAAAGTTTCTTTGATTTCAGACTCACATAATGAAGATGGACCCTAGCGATAAGACCCTCACATTGTCTCCTATGGAGAAGGTAAGAGCTCACCTGGGTTGTTGTTCAAAAAATTTAGATGGTCAAACAGAGGTTGAGGAGCAAAAAAAAAAAAATTTTATTTCATGGGCTGCACTCTTTTAGATCTCTGCTTACGTTTTCTCTCTTTTTGCTTCATTGACTCATTCTTCTCATTTGCTTTGCGGCTTTAAAGCTCATTCTGCTCTCATTCAGCCTGCTCTGCATGGTCATTCGTTTCTCTAACACTTTCCCTCTTTTTATCCTCTGCTTCCTGGGATAGAAGAAAGTTAAGGTTGTGAAAGAGCACGGTAAGGAGAAGGGGAAGCCAAGAGATGACCCTGCCCTTTATAGAAAGAGGGCAGAGCTTTTAACTCGCAAAGCTCTTCCGACTGAGTTACTTAGAAGCTCAAGTGGTAGCTTAGTTGTCGGGGACAGTCTTGGGTCAGGGACCCCCCACAAGAGCCCTAAGAGACATGGTCAGGATAAGGAAAATGTACTTATTGCTTTGGAGGACAGAAGGCCTGCACATCACCAAGCTGCTAGAAGTAATATCAGAATGGGGACGGACATAAGCAGAGCTGGATCCAAATCCTTCCAGCCCAAACACAAACAGCTGATAAAGTCAAGGGATAGAGTCACAGGGAAAGACGCTGGGAATAAAGTACAGATGCTTGAGAAGGAACATTCAAAGGTAGAGGCTGAAAGCAAGAAGGTTGCTCACAAATCAAAAGGAAATACAAAACCAAACCAAGAAGGTAAAACAAAACCCAAAGATGGTCCATTGGAAGTCAGTAGCCAGTCTCAAAAGGTTGTGGGGAAAGAAAAAGAAGTAAAAATGAAACCCATAATTGTTGTTGAGCAATATCTTGAACAGACCATGCATAAGGACCAAGAGCCAACAGGTAAGAAGATCTCAAAAGAGATTTTACCAAAAGGTCAGAGGCTGAAAGCTGAAATGAATGCTGCTAAGACAGAAAACAAAAGTTTTGTCCCACAGAGCAAAAGGTCAGATTCAAAAAAAGACTCAAAAAGTAAAAAGACAACACAAGAGATCTCCACTACTTCACTTTCCTCTTGCCAAGAAGACATTTCTACAAAAAAGACTAAGAAATCAAAAGCAGAACAAAGCCAATTGCTAGTAGAGGACACAAAAAAGGGCCCTACCATTGTCTCAGAAGCTGCCTTCAAATCAGAATCAGTGTCAGAATCTGAGCAAATGAAGGAAAATCCTCTCACCAAGGTGACATCTTTTCTCCAAGATGTGGGAATGGAAAGTCCTGCTCGTTTACTTGGAGAAACAGCAGTCAGTCAGTTCCTTTCCCAGTCCACACTCCAAAAGATGCCAAAACCTCTTTCAAAACAGAGAACTCTATCTGATGTTTCGTCCCTGAGTGAATCTTTTGAGGTTTCAGGACAAGAGAAGACAAGAGAGGCCAAGAGGACAGCCGTCACCATCAACGTTAAGGCAGAACCAGAAACTTCAGATGGGAACTTGGAAAGTACCAGCTCTGAGTCCAAAACCGATGTTCATTCTGTGGTGGGAACATATAGAAGAAGTGAGGAGGAAGGAGGAGAGGAATCAGATGAGGAGGAAGAGGGGGAAAGCGAGGGATTGATGAACAGGAGGGATGAGAGTGAGGAAGTGGATGACCAAGAAGAGGAAAGTGAAAGCAAGACCCTAGCAAATGATAATGCGGTTGATGATGATACAACGATTAAAGCTTCTAGTGAGGATGAGGAAAGTGAGGAAGAGGAGGAGAAAAGTAAAAGTGAGGCAACTGAGGACGTAGCGAGTGAGGCTGAGGAAGCGGAAAGTCATGGAATAGAAGATGAGGAAGAAGAAACAAGTGAGATAAGTAGAAAAAGTGAGGAAGAGAGTGGAGAAGATGAGGATGAAAGCAAAACAAGTGAAGAGGAGGCGAGTGGAGAAGATGAGGATGAAAGTAAAGCAAGTGAAGAGGAGGAGAGTGGAGAAGAATCAGAGGGAAAGATAGAGAGCAGAAGTGACAGATCAGAGGAAGAGTCAGATGAAGAAGAAGAGGATGAGAAGTCAGAGGAGAAAGATAGTGAGCATGAGGAAGAAAGTGAAGTGGAAGGTGACACTGAGTCAGAGGAGGATGAAGATGGTGAAAAGACTAGCAAAGAAGAGGAGGAAGATTCAGAGAAGCAGGAGAGTGAGACTGAAGATGATGAAGATGAAGAGGAGAGTGAAAGTGAAGCAGAGGAGGAGGAAAGTGAGGAAGATAAAGAGGAGAATGAGGAAAGTGAGGAAGATAAAGAAGATAATGAGGAAAGTGAGGAAGATAAAGAGGATGAGGAGGAAGGTGAAAGTGGCAAAGATGAAGCAATGAGTGAGAATGATGAAGAAGAAGAAGAAGAAGAGAATGAAAACGAACAGGACAGTAAAGACAAAGAGGAAAAAGATGAAGAAGAGGAAGCGGCAGAGGAAGAGTCTGAAGAAAGAGAAGAGACAGAAGAAGCAGAGGATGAGGAGGGAGAAGAGGAAGACAATCAAGAAGAAGGGAAAGAGAGCAAAGAGGAGGAAGAGGAACAAGAAGAGGAGGAGGAGGAAAAAAAGGCCAAAAGAAAACTTGAAAAAGCCTCCGAATCCACCAAACCAAAGTCAAGTGTGAAAACATCAAAACAGCCGTCAAAAGCCAAACGGGCTCGAGTGCAAGACGATCAGTCAGATGATGAGTCCCAGGAGTCTAAGCAGTTTTGGGATGATGTTCTACCTCAGTACCTCAATCTAAAATAATTCAGCAACCTCAAGCTCTCTCTGCTCTTCCCTGAGATTATAAGCTTGCCGTTTCATACTTGCCTTTTATGTTCTTTCTTGCTTTTTCCTTTTTATTTTACATTTATTTTTTTTATTTCACCATTATTATTCTTGCAATTTCACTCATGGCAATCTTACCTAATGTATTGCTTCACATTTTAAATTTTAAATGTTATTTCTTTTACAAAATGATGTTTTCATAAGTACTTGTACGCCCACACAGTAGTGAAGACCTCATCATGTGCCTTGGACAGCCATGTTCGTTTACTAACAAATGTGCTTGATTTGCCAGTGACCTTGAATCAACCCTATCAATGACTTTAAATTCTTAAAAATGCAAAATTATTACCAATTTTGTTTTTTTTAAGAATTTAAATATGCCTTTAAGTCAGATGCCTAACCACATTAAAATGTAAAATAAAATGGCAGCTCATAATCTTTATGACTGGAAGAAAATAATTGGAAAAATACAGGTAAATTGAGCCCAAAGTTAGTCATTAAATATAATTTCGTAAAAATTTTGCACTTGTGCTTGTTCTGTGAACTTTTTTTTTTTATTTTTTTTTTTACATATAATAACCAATAAAACTTTTAATTTAATTCAACTATTTGCATCCGTTTTTAAATTAATACCTGTGTGTTGTTTTTTTTATTTTCAAAAGCACAGATTATCCGGGGACTTTATAAAGACAAAATTCTGTATACATTAAATGAAGAAAAATACATACTACATGACTGTTTAGTGAAAGCTATCGTGCAGTACCTGAGAATTTCATGCAGTACCAGAACATTTCAGAATATGATATATGTACAAAGCAAATTTTCATTTGAATTGTAAATATGCAAATAAAGAAAGCCATATGACATATCGCCAACTTGCAAAGCCGTTGCAATCAGAGTACTGAAAATCCTTCATTGGACAGGTGAGGCTGCCCTCATTTTACACTGTCTCTGTAGAGCTATTCCTCCTAAATGGATCCCTAGTTCATGTACCTACTTACTTGCGTGTGTTTATACATGTAGTTTATTAGTTAGTTTTAATTTTACAAAGACTACTCAACTCACATGAACCCTCTCCTGCCATTCTAGTGCCTTTAGCCCTCTTTTCGTGTTTCACAGTCACTGATTGTGCAATTTCTTACTTTTTGCACGGCCACCATCCATCTCTCCAGCTCCGGACAGATGAGATGAATGGAAAAGTAGAAGGAGAAGATGATGAGGAGGAAGAATGTTTAGATGATGAGGAAGAAGAGGAGGAAGAGCATCCAGAGGAAGAAGAGGGTGAAAAGTGTGATGAGAAGGAAGATATTCTAGATGAGAAGAGAAAAGAGATGGAGAAGCAGGAGCAAAGCATTACAGAGTCAGACGTACAGGTGCCCTGAAACCTTTCATTCATACCATTTAGACTAATTTAGTATGAACATAATGATTTAGCATTACGTCAGTAAACAACTGCAGTATTGCTGTGATTTGTTTGTGATGATAGTTTCTTACTCTTACAGAAAAAGCAGATTATAAGAGAAGAATCTGTTCCAGATGGACCAAAGAAAGGTTAGTGTTTTTGCTTTTCAGCATCCTTTTATTTTTCTATTCCCATAGTCCCCAAGAAAACCAGGGTTTTGTGGCTTTTAGTCCGTTTGTTAGCTTTGAGGGCATCTACAGT